TAGAGAGCCTGTCATCTTTGTATATTGATAAAACAAGCCAATGCACATTGACGTACAAGATTTGCATCTCGCGCTCTGCCCCGCACCGTTTGTTTTTTGCTGAGGAGCCGAATGGAGCCCAGAGTCAATGGTGGTCCAGCAATAGTGCCGACAGGAATACGTCTCCTTTCCCTCCTTTAGGGAACGAGGGTTACATACGAAACCGATACGTTCCCTTTCAGTGCGGTCACGTTCGACGTAGTCGGACATACCGTACTAATTGGGATCCCAATTAAAACACCACTTAGTGCTGCCACCTTCCAGTGCCTAGCAAAGCCTTCTGACCTTCATTTATTGAGGCAGAGATGGGACAGGGCGTAGGCCACTGCTGTTCTGCATAACCCACTAAGACAAACTTGGATAACACTGGCCCGTAGGGAGCCATACTGTGGAAGAATACACACATGGGATCGCCTTAGGGATCACAACATACGGGACCCAGCCTAGCACAGGTTCCAACATGGCATTTGAGTATTAGGCTTGGCATCGCATGGTCCGCCATGTCTGTTGCTGAGGGGTGTGAAGGAACTCAACAGGGTTCGGCTAATAAAGGAACTCTACAGGAGCAAGAATGGCGTATATCTAGCATATCTAGTCCATAGGAGGGGAATATAGAATATAGCGAACGTGTTTGGTGTCGCTCGACCCGCAGCTCTACAAATATCTGTCAGTGGGGCGAGTTACGTCACGCGAGGGGACCGTAGACCACCTTGATGGTTGATGTACGCAATGGTCGCAATGTTGTCCGTAAGGACCAGCACATGCGTGCCGATCAGTGGTGTTTTGAGGTGTCTCAGAGCAAGGTGTACTGCTAGCAACTAGAGGCAGTTGATGTGTCAATGCAGTTAGGGGCCCATCCAGACCCCTGCTACTGCATACCCATTGTACGTGGCTCCCCAGCCGGTGTTGGAGGCATCTATGGAGACCACAACATACCTGGACACTTGTTCTAGGGGCAAACCAGCATGGAGAAATGAAGGGTCTGACCACGGGCTGAGGGTTTGGCAGCAGGCCGGGGTGATTCTGATCCAACTCAGAAGGCCCAGGGGCGGCCCGTAGAGGGGTCTGAGTGTGCAGTGCAACACTAACCTGTCTCCACTGGTCGGCAGGGGGTGTGTGAGAAGGCGTAATCGGGTCTTCAAACTGCACCAGGCTGTTGGCTGGTGATACTAGAGAGGTCTGAAGGTGGCAAGGCTTTACAGGGTCACACACTGACAGTCTGGCCCTCTTGGGACCCAGGAATAGAGCTCATTCTTTAAAAATGTGTGTGCCGCTGGACTCCGGGGAGCCAAGGGCGGACTGGAAACAGAAACAAATCAAAGATTCTCCACCCGCCCTCCTCTGGGGGAGTGGTGATGTCACCATCTCCCAAAAAGAGCTTGGTCCTCCAAGGTGAGGCCTGGGTGAAAGCTGCTTCTGTGGCCTAGGGGGAGTGGAGGCGCCGGCAGGGGGATGCCCTCAGCGATGAGCAGGCAGAGGATCTGCCACCGGTGGACGGATGGAGGCATCATTGAGCTGCAGGGGCAGGATGTGCCGGATCGCCTCATCCTGCCCTTGTTGGGCGAACTGTTGGGCGAAGTTCTCCACCACATCACCAAAGAGGTCGACCTGGGAAATGGGGGAGTCCAGGAACCGAGACTTGTCTGTCTCCCTCATATCAGCCAGGTCGAGCCAGGGATGGCGCTCGTGGACCACTAGAGTGGAAATCGCCAGACAGAGAGTGCGATCCGCAACCTTCTTACCCCGGATAGCGAAGTTGGTTGCGAAGCAGAGAACACACATGAGCTCACGGTCTCGACTACCCTCGTGCATGTACATCAGTGTTTCGGCCTGGTGGACCTGCAGCAACGCCATGGCATGCAGGAAGCGGCTTTCCCACAGGCTTTGTAAGCCTTGCCCGAAAGAAAGGACGAGAACTTACAGAACTTAGAGGGTGAGACGTGGATCACCCTTCCAAGATGTAGCGGTCACCGAACACAGCTGCATCATGACAGGACGCTGCAGAGTAGGGATAGCCTCATAACCCTTCGCTGTTCCTCTGTCAAGGGTAGTGAGGGGAGAGGAGGTACTAAGGTGGTTTCTGGCAGAAAAAGGTGCCGTCCACAACTCCTCATGCACTTCGGGAAAGAATGGTACTGGGGCAGTGTGCTGAGGACTAGCACGGCCTGCCCCCAGAAACCAATCATCCAACCGAGATGGTTCGGAACATGGTGGAAGGGTTCTACGTGAGCCCGACCATCTCGGCGGCCTGTGTCAGCATAGCTGACATTTCTGGATCCGGCTCGGGCAACGCTACTCTCCCAGAAGGAGGTAGCACAGCCGAGTTGTCAACTCCAGAGTCCAGCTCCCCTTCCAATGCAATGATCGGTCCCAGAACAAAACGGGTGGTCGGTCCACTACTGAGAGATCACCGTTGTACTTGTGCTGTACAACCACCAGTACCAAGAGAGCCTTCCAGAAGAAGCACTAACAAACTCACTCATTGACATGATGCTTGTTACATCGACATGAAGGTTCCGAAGGGAAAGACAAATGGTGCGTGCATCCACTTCGGTATTTATTCCTGCGCTGCGGAGCACGAGATGCAAATCTTGCACGCCAATGTGCATTGGCTCGTTTTATCAATACTCGAAGATGAAAGGCTCCCTAAGCGTGATTGGGAACCCAACGGGAACTATTAGCGAAGTGTTGTTCACAGAAAAAACATAAGTTCACCTAGATAGTAGTCAAGCCATTAAAAGTGCATTTTAGACAACACAAATTATTTAACGGAAGAATAAGTCAAAATAACTAAAATACAATCTTCACATTTCTGCTTTTAAATCCTCCTGCACACTTTCCCCATAGACCTCTAATGTTAATGCATTACTGTACTATTTTTGTTTGTTTGTTTTAAACTGAGGGATGAGTTTAAATTGTGGTTATTGACAACAAGACACAGATGCTGCCTGTACAGCTTAAGTTGTTTTAAAACCCTGAACATTTCTCAATGAAATCCAATGCAATTCAATGGATCGCAAAGAGAATGGATCCCTAAATTCAGCTGATGTCATTATAAATACTGTTTACTAAGTGCAAGTGTATACATTGTACTGCATGTTTGATGTTGGTTGTTTTCAAGGTTATTATTATTATTGCTTAGTTATAGGAGATTTCTAGATCCCATTATTAAATAACCTGGAATTTGCCTGTTGAAAAATATTTTGCTGTTACAGATGCATTTTTTACCCCAATTAAAACCTACATCTAATTAGATAACATTTCAGTGTTTGCCTTTAGTTCACATTTGTGGCTTGAAGGTAATCTATTATATGCTTCTCTAAACACATGCTACAAACTGAAACTATATCATCATGGTTGCTGCTTTTTAAAACGATTCATTGATTTTGACATTGGTGCAGAGGTTTCTGTGATGACAGACTCCATATTGTATCATCACTCATGTCATTTGATATTACGTGTTCTGACACATATCAAGCTGTATGACATCAGTGACTCATATCTTACTGTATGATGCTTTGTGTTATGACACCAGTGTCACGACGCTGAATAAACTAGATGCGCCGTCTATTAAAACATCAGCATTACGTAGATAATGTATATAGGTCATTGTCAGGAAACATTATCATTGAGTGTGTCCCCAGGACTTACTACATGTATAATTAAGAGTAATAAGTTAATTCATAATTCAGTAATTCATTATTTTAGAGACTGAACTCGCAATGCAAAAAAAAAAAAATCTCCCTAAAATATCAGCCAAATTGCATGTTACATTCATCAACATTACATTTAAATGGGCTGTATTTGTCTAATAATAATAATAATAATAATAACAACAATAATAAATATAAATGCAAGCAGTGATTAATAGGCACACTAGCTTCCAAAATGACTAATTCAAGACATTTGTAAAAGATTTTAAGCAAGTGGTTGAAAATAGCCATTTTTTATATGTCTTGACCAACAGGTGGCACTGAGCTGATCTGTGCAGGTATCCTCAGGTTATGGTTGTCATAAACAACAAGTTTGGTCTGAATATGCTAAAATGTTGCGGAGATATAGCCTCATGCCCCTTTCGGCGTGCTCTTTGTCGAATTTGTTTGCGACTTTGCGCATTATTCGAGAACGGTTCGACTTATAAACTTGAATTCCATCATTTTTACCAGCATGGCGGCAGTAGAGGGATTGATGTAGAAACTCCAAAATTGCAATGGATAATGTTCAGACTGTCCTCTACCCATGTGCCAAATTTCATAACTTTCATAACTTTTTATTCAACCCTGTTCAGCTATGAAACTTGCCCATTTAAATGTAATATTGTGAATTCTCTAGTCAAAAAAAAAAAACGTCTTTACATTAAAAAAGGTAATTTTTTTAATTGCTTGCAATCTTCAGTATTTAGTAAGCAATTATGTTGACCTTGTCATGCTCAACAGTCAAGAAGGAATCAAAGCATATGGTCAAAATTCTTGTGCTTTGATGGCTGTTGAGCTGACATGGTACAAATATATTTTTTTGTATCTTTTTTTGCAATGATTTTGCCATTTTTTAAAAGTTTTTAAACATAACAAGTTTCTGAAAGAGAGTTAATCACACTTGAGGGGCAAGATCAGGTAACAAAATGAATTTAACAATATTAAACCTTTCAAATGAAATGACAACAATAAATATATAAATCAAAAATAATTGCACCACTTCATGAGAATGACTTGCAAATGTCAACTAGTATAACTGGGAATTGTCAACACATTCACATTGTATAGTAATTTGAAATAGCACATATTCACACAAACAGCAAAAACAAAACAAAAAACCTATGTTAAAAGAAATATACAGCAATTTTCAACGCCGCTGAGCACACAAGACCGTGCCGTTGACGGAGATATCCCTTGGGAACGAGAGAGGACGTACCAGTCGCTCTCTTCTCTGTATTTGGCTCCAATGTTGGCTTGCTTACATACCTCCTTTTCTACATATTTTCTTGTTGGGTTTTCTGGCACATTCCTTGGATATTCTTTTGACTGTAAAATGAATAAAAGACTACAAAATAACAGAAGGCTCTGGAAGAAACGTTTGAGGAGAACATGCAACAACGTCACTCCCCCTCCCCACAAGAACAACAAAGAGAACCTGTCCAGAACGTTAGCTGGGGTGCTCTGTCTTTTGGGCAGAAAATATTCCAAAAAAAAGGTGGAATTGATTTGCTGCACCCTGGAACACAGGAAGCCTAGTTTCACATGCACTGCTATATAAGACCCTTTACAAGCACAAGAGAAACTGACTGAACTGTTCCTCATAGCAATCCCTGCACCGCTGCATCACTCCAGGTTTTGCGTGAGAAATGCACGGATCTGTTGTACGATGCACCAAATGTGCTTTGAGAATGAGACCGAACAGATGCAGAGAATTGCTGTAAGTGTGCTCTACCACATTTAGGTCTATTTTGGTTTTAGGGCTCTGTTCCAAAACATAGTGCACTCCTAGACAGCTCACGACATAAATTGAAGTGAAATACAGTATGTATTATTTCCCCCAATACTTGTGCACTTTGCATTTACATTACATGTATGCATTTGGCAGACGCTTTTATCCAATTGCATCGCCAGTTTCACATTTCCATTCTTATCAGTTCTTGCAAGTTATCTATGCCTTATTTAAGTTGTCATTAGCTTAGCAGCATGCTAATGCTAAAATAACTCTTTAAAAATAATTGAGGTTCATAATTGAGGTTAAAAAAAATTGAGGTTCAAGCACTTTAAGGCCTTCAAGCACATGCGTACATGTTATTATGCTTTTATTTAACAAGCCTCAAATCATTAGAGATCAGAGATGGAAAAGAAAATGTACAGCAAATACAGGCAATTTACTAAGGCCATACATACAATTATAGCGCTACCTACTGTATGGTCCAATCTCCATAAAAGTTTCCTTGTTTAGAATAATTTCTTGCATGTGATATATGCATGAATATGATTTCCCAGATAGCAAACTGACATTGAATCAACGTGGAAATATGACATCGAAACAACGTTGATCTGACATTGTTTTGCTCATCGAATTAACGTTGAACCAACGTCAGACGCGTCATTCTTTCAAAACTAACGGAAAATCAACTTGAAATCAACGCGTTGTTTCAACGTTATGAAAGCAAACCAATTTTCGATTTTCATTTAGCTTTGAAGAATGCCGCGTCTGACGTTGGTTCAACGTTAATTCGATGAGCAAAATCAACATTGTTTCGATGTCATGAGAGACGTCGTTTCCACGTTGATTCAATGTCAGTTTGCTGTCTGGGTTGGTTCCGATCTGCCGAAAATCCTAGGACTAGTTAGTAAAAGTAGGTTTCAGAAAAAATTCAAGATGGCGGAACATTTTTCATTGGAGATATGCGTTTATATAAACACACTTGAGGCTACAGTTATGAGCACTTTTGCGGGTTTTGTTCCCTATTGGCCGATATCGTGTCAGTCCCCTCCCAAATTGAGACCTACCATCTGGCCAAGTTTAAAGTCTCTAAGTCTTATGGTTTGTTCTGCACGTTCCGTTTTGTGGCGGAAGAATAATATAAATCCTTAAAATTACAATATGGTTTGGTTTCAGCGATTTGTACTCCTAATAATGATAGTTAACAAAGTTAACTTGCAGCGGAAAAACAATTAATACTTAGTAATTCTACTATGGTAAGCACCAATTGATAAAACTGTACTGTGACATAGCCATCAATTGACCGATGCTAATTTAAAATGGGCACAGTGGTGTTTGATTCACTGGATTTCAAACTGACACAGCCTTTCCATGCCCTCATAATGAACTTTCCGCATTCATATCAGTCAAACTCACTCTAAAATAGGCACCCTAAGGTTTTGGAACAGAGCTAGTGCTTTTGCTTTCAAATCTGTACGAGTTTGTAAGAAACGCTCTTTGTGCTGGGGTGACAAATTGATCAAAAATTGTGTTTCAAGATCTTAAGTTCCTCAAGAAAGGCTTTGAACATTACCAGAAGAAAGTGGGACAGTAAAGGGTCTTACATGGTTAGGACTGATGCCACAGGCCTCTTGTGTTCCAGAACATTTTAGCAACTCTACAAAAGCCTTATTCTGGCATCAAGCAAGCTAATCTCAGATCGCTAATCCCCCAGAACAGTCAAGACAGTGAGGAGAGGGAGGTGCACCAAGATCATTACATCCAAACGTCATGTCAGATTAGAATCTGAGCTCTTACATTAAAAAAAGATTACTGCTTTCTACTGGCTTTCTTTCTTTCTTTTTGGTTTGCTCTCTTGAACAACACAAAAGAGGAACCCATAACAGTGGCATGGAAGGGAAGAGTTGATGGAAAGACTTCATGGCAGATCAAGTCAAGATGAGGTACGGAAATGGTGAAAACAGACACGGCATGCGCCAGACGACAACTCATGCTTCAAACACAACACGGGAAGTGACAGAATGAAATAGCGAGAAATTTTTTTTTTCTCCGTTATACCCGACACACTCACCATCCTCCGTCGGAACGTAGATGTTTAGATACAAACAATCCTCGTTTTGATCTTGTATGTAAGTGGCAACTATATCCAAGTTAAAGGTGAACCAGATCGGCATCATGATCTCCGGGACGGCGTTGTGAATGTTTTGCGGGCACACCGGCGCGAAATGAGTGGCATTCTTGATCCCCGACCAAGACGAGGGCGGCTCAGGGGGCAGAAAGCGTTTCTCCCCCACCGGCGGGGCGGCGTACGGCACTCCCAGGTACTGGTCCACCGGCCCCAGGATCTCGCTGGGCAACGGAACCCGCACGCCCCGTAACTTCCCGTACTGCGTGTTCACGGTGGGGTAGTAGCCTTGTCCCCGGACGAGCGCCATCCACCAACAAAAAATCCATATCCACAGAGAAACGTTGCGAGCCCTGCCACCGCGGCAGTCCTGCTGGTGCAAAAGGAGCCGGTTTTTCCACATGGTCCCTTAAAAGGCCGCTGCTGCTAGATGCCGACGTACGCCGAGAAACTCCTCCAGCACGTGTCTCCTGCCTTCAGACCCTCAAACACAGCCCGATCACTCCTGTCATTGAAGAAAAAAGGCATAGACGAGCACTGGGCGAAACCTCATTCACTGTCCAGTATTCTCGTCAGGTCCTCTCTCCTGCGGGAGAAAAACAAGACGGGAAAACGTTAAATGGGACCATCTTTTTTTCTCTTGTTTTTTTCTGAATGCGCATAGCACACATAAATATGTCAATGTTCCCAATGCATACACAACTACATGCAAATACAAGCTCTGCTGCAGGTTGAGTTAAACATGTCTCACAACTCTTCAGAAAAGGGTTGACTGGTTCTCAACTGGTGAATCACAACACAACTAGCTATGTTCAGATGTGATTGTGAACGGTGGGGCAAAAACACTGCTAAATGCTAATTAGTGCAACTAACTGTCTAATCCTCCATAGTAATGAAGGCAAAGTGGCAAATGCTTCCCCATTTATGTCATGACAAACCCTATGTGCCCAATCAAACTCAAGGGTAATTTGGTTCATCAGTCACTTGGTTAACATTAGCCCGTAGCCAAATTAGACAGATGCTAACACACGGACAGAGCTACCACTGCAAGAAGGATTCAACAACGTGATCGACTTTTGAAGGCAGGATAGATGTCAAGTCAAAATGTATTTCTATAGCACGTTCAGGACGTGTCCTTCGCTGCCTTTGATATTAAAATTCAGTGACAGTCAGGCTAACAAATAAATATGGCGTCTGAAAGTTGGGACTGCATTGTGTGGAAATTTTGATTTCATTTCTAGTGATTCATTTTATACAAAACTAAGTAGACTATATCAAATAATAAAAAACGTCATAAACTATTCTATAGTATTTAATTTTCTCTAAAGGTTTACTTATTTATTTATTACAAAAAACATATTTCTGTGAAAGACAGACCTACTGTAATTTTCCAAGGCTGTTCGATAGTCTAAGCGTTTGTTTCAGTTATTAATTTGCATTATTTCAACTTATTTCTTAAACAATGCTTATATTTTTATTCATTATACTAATTGTATTTATTATAATTATAGTTGATTTATAATAGGCTACTTATATTGATTACATTATACTTATTTTTAAGTCTTAATAAAAAATAAGACCTCCCATCTTATTTTTCATCTCTGATTTTTATAACCGGATTTTTTCCCTCCTGCGTTTTAAAAAAAAAAACTCTGTCCACATGAAAACGCAAAAACACGTTATCAAGCGCTGTCAGGAGCATGCAACACAATCAGGCGGCAATATAAACCTAACCGTAAAGCCACGTTTGCCAATCAGAAGCCGTCAACTGAGCAAAAACTCCGGTTTCGCTGTCTACACGACAACACCGCAACCGCGTTTCAGAAAATACTCACCCTGGCAGGGGTTTTCAAAAATGTTCGGTTTCAGTAGCCATGTTTCCATCCACTTGTCAATCGAATTATCTGAAATTCGGTTAAAAACCTCATGCGGATAAAGCTGGTGAAAGTGTGTTTCCATCCAACGGCTTTAAAGCGAATAAAAACCTGTACGTAATGACGTCACATGCTGTTTTGCGATCAAATTGGTATATCGAATTGATTTGAGACATTTTAAGGTGTTTCCATTAATTTTCGCACTGAATCGAACAACATTCAAGCAAACTTTTGCGAACAAAGTTTTGCTAGACAAAACGGATCACGCCATCACTGCGTCCATGGCAACGGTGTGTTATACTAGAAGCGCCGCAGTCTGTTAACTAGAAATAACAGACCACATTCTACATTCGAATTCAACCAAGCCACGTAAAAACAAGCAAAACCTAAGAAAACAGCGACGCTATAAACATTGCTATGATGTTGACGATGCACGTACGCCCGACGACAGCGGAGGTGACTGTGGTGTGGGAACGAGCGCTCTGGGAGATCGTGGTTCACGGAAACCCTTTGGTTGAAGCATCTTTTTGCTTTTTTCACTTACATCTGTCTTTGTTGACATCCGCCATGTGTGCGCAAACAGACTGGCCGGAAATGAACTCGTCTTCTGACGTGTTGCAACCATAAAAGGGCATAAAACTTAATCGCAATATATTATTTATTCGGCAAATAACGTTTCCATCAGCCTTTATCGCATTAGCCGTATATCGATCAAGAGAAAATCCGATGAGACCGAACGTATTTCATTTGAGTCGATTTTCATGAAATTTCATCGAATTTTACTGTTTCCATAAGGCATTTTTCATTCGATATCACTGAATTCGGATAAAAACGTGTCGATGGAAACATGGCTAGTGTCCTGATACTGCGTTTCCATGTGGACGAACGGCCGAACCGCGTAAAAAAAGTCACGGTTATAAAAATACCCGTGTCCGTGTGGACATGGCCTTAGATGTCTGTCTTCAGCCGATTCGTTTAAAGGCGTAGTTTGTAGTTTATGCGACACTAGCGCCACCTAGCAGAATTACAAAAATACAGCAAATTTTGCTAACGCCCCTTTCACGTGTCACGTCTTACTCAACTCAAACACAACTCGACAACTTTTACGATGCTTTTAAAGGCATGTCTCAACAGGTAAACATAGGCTAATTTCAATGAACTGTCAAACGTATTAGGAATACTTTTAGTCGCGTTGCTATGTGTCATGTGAGTTATAAACCCATCCAATGCATCTGCAATTTTTGACATTGACGTGCCACTGTGTTATATTAATTAGTAGAATGAGCTTATTATTGTTAAGCTTATGCTCTTCATACATTTCAATGTTGGATTTTGAGGGCAGTCTTGTTTCTTTTGTACAGTAAGCCCAGACAGCAAACTGACATTGAATCAACGTGGAAACGACGTCTCTCATGACATCGAAACAACGTTGATTTGCTCATCGAATTAACGTTGAACCAACGTCAGACGCGGCATTCTTCAAAGCTAAATGAAATCGAAAATTGGTTTGCTTTCATAACGTTGAAACAACGCGTTGATTTCAAGTTGATTTTCCGTTAGTTTTGAAAGAATGACGCGTCTGACGTTGGTTCAACGTTAATTCGATGAGCAAAACAATGTCAGATCAACGTTGTTTCGATGTCATATTTCCACGTTGATTCAATGTCAGTTTGCTATCTGGGAGCTCTGTTGGTACCAGTATAAAATCATCCAAACCATCAGTAAATAAAACATACTGTATGCAGGGTTTCCATCAAGCCAAAATAGCAACTTCTCTTTCCAAATTTGACAGAAATGTATTAAAAGCTTTTTCAGGCATAGGCCCTTGTCCCCATCCCTGGAAAGCTGGTATTTGTAAGTGCCTCGCAGGCGCCTGTGCTAACACTGTAAATGCTAATGATGAGGAGGGTGGTCCCCAGAGGAGAGAAACCCTTCTCTGCTCAGCTATTGATCAATTTTCAATTTTTAAAGCTTAAGACCCTCAGACCTCCATTCCTCGGAGGGCCTGGAATAATAACAAGGAGAAAAGCTGGAGTTTAGTAGCGGATATTGCCTTCCAAAATGACTCTGTAAATGATTTATAATGTATCTAGTGGAGCAGTATCCACCAGACAGAGGCAATATGAATCATCCTGGAGGTGCACTTATCACTCCACAGCTCCTATCCAAACTTAGGCTGATTTGCACAAAGCCTTGCAGGAAGTTCTTCATCCTCCACCTCATCATCCACACACACACACACACACTTGCTGCTGCCTGTGGACCGTACAGCCGATCTCCGGAGAGCAGAGAGGAAATATCCTGCGTTATCTTGGCATACTTTAAACATAATGTTTTTCTCAAAGTCACGACTTGTCCATTTCAGTTACTACTCGAGTGAGAAGTGATTTTCAACAATTGATCTGAGAACTAAACAGGATTGATATTTTTCTTTCTCCCTCCAGCAAGCTTGTATTAAGGAATACTTTGACCCAACACGAATAAACCATTTTCTGTACACTTAGATATTGAGTCAAGACTCACTGTGCCATATGATTTCCTATGATGTGAACAGTCATAAATACTGTGCAAAATGGAAGTGTATGTGGAAATTAAAGCGTGTAAATATGAAGTCTGTGTGAATGAGCGGCTCAGTGTTTCACTTGAGAAACACTATCGGCAAACAGAAACTCAAAGGCAACCCTTCAAAATAAAAGTTTGGTTAAACTTTAAGAAATTATGATTGAAATATAATACCGTTGAACAGTAGAATGTACTGTTATTATGATGACAGTATCACTTTATCACTGTTGTAATGATACATGCAAGAACCTATGTGATTGATTGATCAACATTTGATCTCATTGATGTTAACCTGGTATGATGCATCTTTAAACAGAATATAGGCAAACCCTCCTTTCCATATTAAAGTTCACACATGTCTAAAATAAAACAACCTTTTGGTTCTCGGTGTGGTGAAATCAGCTCCCGACACCAGAGGCCCTGTTCCACCTGGTATTTACATGCGTTACTGGTGATCCGAACACAAGTTGTCTGCAGAGACACATTCCCATTTCCACCTGATATGAACACGCGTTTCAAAAGTGTCTCCTGAGACAACTCAGATTTCATTGAGAACATCCTCTCTTATTTCTTCACACTCCACATCACTTTTGTGGGAGCACCGAGCACATTCAAGGACGCACATATTGGATCATGGTTATGCTTCTGTATTTTGTAAGAGATCTAATTGTTTGAGTTTCACACTTTACAGATTTAACTGTTGTTTCCAGAAAGCAGATGTATCCTTATGGTCACATAAACCTCAAACTCTTGGTTGAGTAACCCACGCTTTTCTTTCTTGTGATTATCGGTTCTTCTTTTGTTTGATTGTGATTTATATTCTCAGTGCATATCGCCACCAACTGTGCCGCTGTGCAACCATTTTAAATCGTATCTTTAATCAGTTTTTTATTACTGTGAACGAAAAGTATATTGTGTGTTTGATGCTAAAAATAAATAAAACAGAGACTGAACTATTGATTGAATGAAATCTGTGCTTGACAAATATTATTGCTATACACAGTAAATATATATACAGTATATTATTTGTTTAGCCATTTTGTGCTAGTTTCACAAATGCATTTTCATTATAGATGAACAAAAAAAACCTTTTGAATGCAGAACTATTGATTGAATGAAATCTGTGCTTGCAAAATAATATTGCTATATA